AAAATACATAATTGTGATCATGAATAAAGAGAAATTGATGTGTTAAAGGGACAAACATTTTGTTTATTATAAAAAGATCTGTTAGTTATTTAAAAAAAATTTTTTTTAAGTAGGCTTCACCCAATGGGGCTTGAACTCACCACCCTGAGATTAAGACCTGAGCTGAGATCAAGAGTTGGACACTTAACTGACTGAGCCACCCAGGGGCCCTGATTATTATTTTTTTCCTAAAGATTTTATTTATTTATTTGACAGAGAAAGAGAGCGCACAAGCAGGGGGAGTGGCAGAGGGAGTGGCAGAGGGAGAGGGTGAAGCAGGCTCCCTGCTGAGCAGGGAGCCCAATGCGGGGCTCAATCCCCGGACCCTGGGATCATGACCTGAGCGGAAGGCAGGTGCTTAACGGACTGAGCCACCCAGGCGCCCCGCCTCGATTATTTTTTTAAATGTATGGTGTTCAGTTGGACAGTCAGTATACTCAGATAATTAATGTGAAATGTATTATTTTATAAAATTTGTTGAAAGAGAAAAGATACTTCTCTTTTACCAGTGTGTATGTCCAGCCATTATCTGAAAACCTTTTTGGAGGTTAAGCCTTTATGGTGTGGGGTCAGGCACAGTGTTATCTTTTATATTTTTCCAGTGGTCATTTCCATATAGGAAGTCTAACATAGCAAGCACATGAACTTACCTATGTGCTCTGATTTGCATGTATCCTTCCTTTGTTTTGAAAATTAAAATTCTCACTATAATGTTTAAATTGGTAATTCCAGTTCTGCGTCCTTTAAAGATGGAAATGCTACAGTGGTATAGAATGGTCAGGGGGTTAGAAAAATACATTTTTAATCCCTTTGGTCTCAGTTGGGAAGCCTTTTTTTACAAATGTACATATGTTGCAAGGATTTGGTGCTTATTATATGCGCCTGTTACATCTTGTGCTTACCCCCATCATAGCACTTGCCGTACTGTGCTGTATTGTAATTGTTGCTTTTTGTTTTTGTTTTTGTCAGGTGTATCGGTGCATAAGGCCTAATGGTACCTAGAAAATAGGGTCACTGGCTAAATACTTATTGAATGAATAAATACAAGCTGTAGCAAGGTAGGGAGTCTGGTATAGGGCCTGTTTGAAAAAAGAGAGAGAAAGAGAAAAGTGACTATTGGTTAAGCATACTTAAGGTCTGGAGTTCAGGAAGTAATTTAAATTCTAGTAGTTGTTGAATTTCCGTATCTTTTTCTAAATTGTCTTCTTAGGTGATATGACCAGGCTATTTGTTGGGATAGATTTTTTTCTAATTCTCTGTTACTTTGTTTTTGATTGGTTTTTTCCTATATGCTGAAATGTGACTTCTTGTGCTTCTCTCACTAAACAAAATGTTTTCATTATTGTTTGCCTCCATTACCTGTGTGTATTTTCATAGTTGAAAGCATATACTTAACTGTCAAAATGTCTTACATTCTAAATAAATTGTATTCACTGTTTAGGGCCTTCTGGAATAAATCATTCTTTATATTTAACTGTTCTCTTTTATTCTGAACCCAAGATAAATAGGGTAGCAGCTGGGTGAAAGTGAAGTAAAATGGGACTAATTTTCATAATTCCCTCCCCAGAATAGTTTGATGGAAAACTGATTACGTGACTGTTCCACCTGAAGAATCTTAAAGGTAAGAGGGCTTGTGAATATTTGTATACTTAGGAAAAACTTAAAAATGACACTCGTAGGTACTACCTTGGAAATTGTGGTTATAGTTTCATTTAACTATGACCTCTTCTTTTTTGCTGGAGTTGCCATGTTAAAACCAGTTAGTGTTTTATCTCTTAGACATATATAAAGTAGGAAATAGGGATGCAAAAATCCTAGGCCTATTTTCTTTTGAGACCTAGATTTTGTCTTGCTTCAACATTTTTGTTTCCAGATAAATAGGAATCTTGATAAATACTGTCAGTGTAGAATAAAGAACGTATTTATCCTTACATGAGATCTGTTTGAAAAGCTGTTTGACAATTTAAATTTTGTGAACTCTTTCCTCCTCACATTCTTTATGTGGATATTCTTTGAAATACAGGAGTTTTTAAAATAATGAAAACCCCTTCTTAGTGAGAGTCATACAGATTTACGATCTTATATCCTATGATATACTGAAGATCCTTTTGGGGTGGCGTGGTGTTCATGTGTTTGTGCCTGTGTGTTAGTTGTTGAGTACTTCTTTTGTGCTAGTCTTGGTGCTAAGCACTTAAAAAGGATTATGTGATTATGTAATTTAGTCTTCATAATGACTGAAGTGGTTACTACATTTATCTCCATTTGATAGATGAGGAAACAGGCTTAAAGAGGTTAAGGTCACACAGCTAGTAAGTGGCAGATTAGTTGTGGTTTGAACCTAGACAGTTTTTTCTAAAACCTGTGCTTAAAGGGACATTCCTGTCTCTATACTGGTATTAAAGCTCCAGCAACAAACATGCAGGTGAGGGATATTTTAAACAGAAACATGTTAGAATAGCCCAGTTGAAGCAAAGAAGTCTACTTACAAACTCTAATAAAATTGTTGTACAGGTAGAAAAAAAAATTTGGGAGCATTTTGTAAGGGATTTAAAAATGAACAATTGTAGAGCGGGACTGAGTTGATTATGTAGCAGAGAGGCTGGAAAGGTAATAATTATTAAGCTGAAGGAGTTAATTGCCTTAACCTTACTCTGAAGTGAATTAATTGAAGGCACTAGAACAAATATCTGTGATAGTTTAAGCCAGATTGATAAAATAAATGTAGATAAATCAACAAAATCACATAGCCTTCAGGGGTGTTTTAAAAGGAACTCAAGAACATCGTAGAACCATTGACTCAGATGTGTAATGAGTAACTGTTGGGCCAGAGTACAGGTGAATATAGATGTAGAGATGCCTACACTTTAGAAAGCTTGAGGAGCCCTCTGCAGTGAGAGACTGAGCCACATCTGTAAACTTTTTCTGGAAGGGGCCAGGTCGTAGGCACTTTAGGCTTTGCAGAGTATATGGCTTCTGTCACAGTTATTTTTATTCACCGTTGTAGTGCAAAAGAAGCCATAGGCAATATCTAAAGGGATGAGCATGGCTGTGCTTCAACAAAACTTTATTTACAGAAAAACTCTGCCAGTTTTTTGACCACTGGCCTATAATAATGCATCCTGTCCCTCCCTGGACATCAATAAAAAATAGCCTCGCTATGGTTTGTTCAAGTGAAAATAACATTCTTAATGGGAGGATCAAATTTTTAATAGATAATTGGGAGGCAGTTAATGGCTTTATTTAAGACTGGGATTGAGAGGAAAGATCCTGCATTAGATAGTAATGGTTATTAACATTTGAGTGTTTATTACTGCAAGACAATGTCATAAGCACAGGTTTGCCTGAAACCAGTGCCCAAGTCATTCATCACTGAAATATACCACTCAGAATACCTTACTGAATGCCCCCTTTTTTTAATTGAATTTTTTGGACAGGGGATTGAATTTGGGGACCTGTTTATCTTGGATAGAGGATTGGAAATAAAGGAGAAAGAAGAATAGATTATCTGAGAGTGGTTCTGGGAGTCACTGGCTTCTCTGAAGACCTTAGCCATGTGAATCAATATAGTATTTAGCATCTTCATGAAATATGCTTTGTCCTGGCATAAGTATGCCCAACATAGGGACAGCTCTTACTTTTTCCCAGTATCCCTTTTATTCAGCCTTGGCTCCCATTTATCATATCTGTGCCCTTCTATGATAGATTCTATAATGGCAGCATTGGGTTCGAGAGTGGGGTGGGAAATAGAGTTAAACTTCCTCATGGCCTTTCGTATGTCTTCTATTTTTGTACCCAAAGGATCTAACTACTCTTTTGACAGAATATTAGTAGACTTGATCAATTTAGTTGTTACTCAGAAGTGTTGATTTGTGTTTTTTCAGTCCTATGTGTGCCTTTTTCTCACTTCTGTCTAGGGAAAACAAAGAAATTGGGCAGTCAACACTTTTATTACCCTTCCCTATTTTTCTGTTCTTACTAGCACCAGTAATAATAGTAGGGGCACCTGGATGGCTCGGTTGCTTGAGCTATCGGCTCTTAATTTCGGCTCAGGTCATGATCTCAGGATCCTGGGATCAAGCCTCATGTCAGGTTCTGTGCTCAGCAGAAAGTCTCCATGCTGATGGAGAGGGAGAGAGAATCCCTCCTGTGTGTGCTTGGGCACTAGCTCTCTCTAAAAATAAACCTTTAGGAAAAAATAATGATAATAACAGCTACTTACTGCATGGCAGTGCAGCTGCGATTTGACTGTAGGTCTAAGTCTTAACTAGGATGTTCGTTAGTTATCTTTAGATACCGTGGGCTTGCTTGAAGGACAGTAGGAAGCAGGGAGAGTGAGGTTTGAAGTGAACTGGATGTAGATGGAAGGAAATAGGCTTTGGAAGAGAAAAGGATGGGGAGAAGGGAAGGATAGGGATTTTAAATGGAGCTGGCCAAGGCTAAAATGTTTAGTTTCTATTAGTGGGAACCTCTGGTCCCTTCTCTGATTCCTTGAAGCTTGAGGTGCTTCAGCAACTACTACAATAGGAAATACATTGCTAGTGTCTTAGGTGTAACTTGAAACAATTTTCTTTATATCCTAGAACTGTGCTGTCCAGCATAGTAACCAGTAACCACATTGGATTACTTAAATTTAAATTAATTAAAACCTAAATAAAATGAAAAATTTTGTTCCTCAGTTTACTAGCCTGCATTTCAGGTGCTTCATAGAACAGTTCCCTGTTGGGCAGTCCTGTTTTAGAGAACTGAACTATTTTCTACACTACTGTTACTTGAATGCACTATAATGGCTGGCCTGGGATTCTCAATTCCATGTATTCCAGGGTTTGTATGGGAGAATGAGTTCTGAATTCTGAAAACTGATTGATATTAGTGCTCTTTTTTTTTTATTCCACATCTAAAAGTTGATGCTTTTATGATAAATAAAATTTTTAAAATAGGTCATTCTTCCCAAACTTTTTTTTTAATAAAAAAAATTGTATTTATTTAGAAGCATTTAGAATGTCAACAAAACAGCTGCAACTTTTTTTTTTTTTGCAATTACAGAGTGGTATTCAGTTAACAGAACAACAATTATTTCGTAGAAGCTGCATCAGAGACAACTGAAGATGAAAAACTACCATCCCCATATATAACTAATTTGTGCTGTGCACCAACAAGAACCTGCTTTAAATTTCCATGCCAATTTACAACCCCCATACTGTACCAGGCAAGGTTAGTGGCTATTGAAAATACCACCAGGACAGGGCCATCTAAAGACACATTCGGTAGTGTGTTAACTATACAAAAAAAGACACTGTACAGTTTAAAAACAAATCTTACACAGCCTTACGTTTCAGTTTTTTTCTTTAAAAGGAGTGAGTTGTGTACAGGGGGGTTAAATGCTTTATAGACAAGAAAAAAAACTGCACTAGAACCAACTTACTCATCATCATCATCTTCTTCTTCATCTTCCTCATCTTCCTCCTCTTCCTTCTTTTTCTTGCTCTTTTCAGCCTTGACAACTCCCTTTTTTGCCGCATCAGGCTTTCCTTTAGCTCGGTATGCAGCAATATCCTTTTCATATTTTTCCTTCAGCTTAGCAGCCTTCTTTTCATAAGGCTGCTTGTCATCTGCAGCAGTGTTATTCCACATCTCTCCCAGTTTCTTTGCAACATCACCAATGGATAGGCCGGGATGTTCTCCTTTGATTTTTGGGCGATACTCAGAACAAAACAAGAGAAAGGCTGAAGGAGGCCTCTTGGGTGCATTGGGATCCTTGAACTTCTTTTTTGTTTCCCCTTTAGGGGGGATATAAGTTTTCATTTCTCTATCATAACGGGCCTTGTCCACCTTTGCCGTGTCTTCAAATTTTCCTTTCTCTTTAGCAGACATGGTCTTCCACCTTTCTGAGCACTTCTTAGAAAACTCTGAGAAGTTGACTGAAGCATCTGGGTGCTTCTTCTTATGCTCCTCTCGGCAAATTTGCACAAAGAATGCACATGATGACATTTTGCCTCTCGGCTTCTTAGGATCTCCTTTGCCCATGTTTAATTATTTTCCTCAGCGAGGCACAGAGTCACCCAGTGCCCATCTGGCTCTCACTTGCCCCGGCGCTGTCTCTATGGAGCTCAATGTACTGCAATGGCTGTGAGAGCGAGAGTCAGACGCCTTCCCAAACTTTTTTTTTTTTTTTAAGATTTTATTTTTGACAGAGGAGACAGAGAGATCCCAGGACCCTGGGATCATGACCTGAGCCGAAAGCAGACGCTTAACCGTCTGAGCCACCCAGGTGCCCCAGAAACTGTTTTTATGCACATATTTGGAATAGTATTTCTAATATATAACAGAAGCAATATATAATGAAATAAAAAGGGCAGCTTGGAAGATATAAGTGCTTTAAGATCATTATGTTAGGGATAAAAGACTTAAAAGATACTTTAGCTTGGAAAGGTGGAGCCTGGGAAGAGATCTTTGATAAGACTGAAATTGGTAAATTAAAGTCCTCTGAAAGTAAACAGAATTAACTTAAAATCAAGAGTGAGCAACCATTCTTTGAGATTCATTTGAGGTAAACCAAAATTAAAAGAAAATTCTGTTTGATTTATAGATAATATATAGAACTTGGTCAAACTATTAAGGAGTCTAGGTAGAATATGATATGATTAAGAGTCATTAATAGTTAATATCATGAAATCAAGTTATATCTAACTTTTTGGGTAACCACAAGGAGGGGTAGTCTTGCCCACCGACAGCTTATCTCTTAAGTTTTTTTTGTTGACCACAAATTATTGGCTTAGGACCATGCGTCTGTATTGTATTCCTTTGCTTCTGTTACTGGAAATTTAAAGCAAAACTGGTATTAAAAACCATGAGTCCTTAGGTTAAAAATTGGCGTCTAGGCAGATAGAACAAATAAATATGAGCAAGTTATGACTTTATAAGTTGTTGAACTAAAAGTTGTGACTTTTATCTAGTGAAATGCTAAAACCCTATCATTTTGAATGAATAAACTGGTAATGTAGCATAATTGGTTTAATTAGATATGGCAGCAGTTAATACATGATGTATTCAAGAAGAAGCACACAACTTATAAGAATTTGGAGCACTTAGTTTTTTAAGCAGATTTCTAACAGGGAAGGGAGTCTGTAAATTGAGGCTTCTTAGTTTCTCAGTGATAAACTATTGCTTATGTACTTCATTGCATGAGTTAAAATAGAGAGGGCAGTATTTAAATGTTAATTATAGATTATAGTTTATATATTAATATAAAATATGAAAACAGCCTAGAGTATCCAGTAGGACATAAATTATTTAGCTATGTAAAGGAATAGTATATTGCATGTTTTGAGAACTTCCTAGATTTTTAAAATATTGTGTTAATTTTCAAATTGACATTTTATCACATTTAATTAACTCTCAAATATTTCTTACTCTTAGATACTTAGGATACTGGGGGAGTTGGTATGGTATAAATTTCCCCACATAAAGATTACACTCAATTATAGATCATACCAGGAGCACAGTGTGCCTTCAAAATCAAGTTCGGAAGTTGCCTAGAGCAGTGTTTCTCAGGCTTTAACATAGGTATTAATCATGTCCAGATCTTGATAAAATGCAGATTCTTATTCACTAGGTCTGGAGTGGTGTCTGAGGTATCCTCCATTTGTAACAAGTTCCCAAGTGATACTGATACTGTGCTTCTGAGTGAATATCAAGTAATCTATGATTGTCTGAATATTTTTAAAGTAATCTTCTGTATCAGTAATTCCATTATTGTAGTTGCTCAGATCAGAATACTTTGGAATTATTCTGGAGTCTTGCTCTCTTAACACATACCTTACATTCAGTCTTTTTGCAAATCCTGATGGCTGTATTTTGAAAATAGCTGGAATTTGATCCCTTTTCATCACCATTGCTACTACTCTGGTACAAGCCACTGTCCTCTCCTTCCCTAGATGATCAGTCGACTTGCTTTTTCCTTTGCCTCCTCCTCTGCCTAAAATCTGCTACTGGCCCATGTCACTCAGAGAAGCAGCCACTGTGTCTGTTTACCTTAGCCCTTAAGGTGTTGCATGATCTTATTACCTCTCTGTCCTCATTTACTACTTTTCATCTTTTTCATTCTGTTCTAACCACACTTGCCTCCTTGTTTTTCCTTGCACATATCAGACACACTGCTCTTTTCTGCCTTTGGACTTTATATTTGCTGTTCTTTTCTGCCTCGAATGCAGGTCCTCTAGGTATTCACATAATTCTCTCCCTTGATTGTTTCAGATTGCCATTTCAAATTTCACTTTATCAGAAATGCTTTCCCTAAATACTCTGTGTGAAATAACACCTTCTCCATAATTGTATGTTTATTTTATAATTGTATTGTTTTATTTTTCTCAACTTCTCAACATACTAGATGTTTTAGTGTGTTTATTGTTATCTCCCCTGCTAGAACGTAGTCAGGAATTTTTGTCTTGTTCAATGCTATACTTAAAGCATTGCCTAATAGTATACCTGTGGCACTCAGTGAATCTTTGAATTAAAAAAAAAAAGCAAGCCCAGGAGGAAGTCATTGGGCCTCTGTTTGAATACCTTCATCGATAGGTTATTCTACACCTCCCTTCAGAACAGCCCATTCCATTTGAAGGTAATTGCTAACCTTCTCCTTAAGCTTTCTGTTCTTCCAGGCTAAACATTCTTAGTACTTTACCTTTTTGCATATGAGATGGTTTCCAAGGCTGTCACCAGTTTAGTCATCTTCCCTGGACATTCATCATTTTGTTGTTTGTCCCTAAATAAAATAGCACCAGAACTAAAACAAATCTGGCTGAAGGGGAAGTTTTCCTCTTGTTTTTGACAGTCTGCTTTTATTAAGACAGACTGTGATTAAATTAACTTTTTAAAGTAACTCTAATCCTTACCGATTTTGACTTTTTAAACTACTAAAACCTTTAAGTCTATGTGCTACTAAGTTTCTTCTGCTTTACAGTTGGTTTTTGAACCAAAGTGTGAGTCTTTGCATTTCTCCTTATTTAGCCTAAAAGAATTTTCCTGGGCAATACATACCTTTAATGTAGAAACTAGTTATGTGTAAATTATTGAAGAAACTAATAGAAAAATTACTTCATATAAATATGGGAGAATTATAACTGATGAGATTGGGGATTTCTTGTGCTGAGATACTCCCAAAATGTTTTTGAACAGCTCATTACAATCATATGTCTTGCATCAGTTCAAGAAAGAATTCTGAGTTAAATAATTTTACCTCATAAACTTATTCCCCTTGACTAACAAATTCATTTCCTTTCCTACATTTCTTGTTTTGCCTTTTGTAATCATCATTTTCTTAGTCCTCAAGGCCAGAATAATCTTTTACTCCTTCCCTGTATTTAGTCACCATATCTCAGAAATTCTTGTTTGTTAATTTCTTGCTTTTTTATTCACTTCATAGCCAATTACTCTAGCTATGCAAATCTCTCTGCTTCTAATCTCTCCCTGCTATAATCCATTTCTGTGCTTTGCTGGCACATCATTCTTTTAAAAGATTCATTTATATTACTTTTATCATTTCAGTCTTCTTCAGAGGAATCTCTTAAGATTGGGTCTAAACTTCTCAATCATTGGAGATCCATTTGTAATCTGTCCCTACTTGATTTACAGTGCTTTGTGTATTGCTTTCCTTACCCATTACTATAGTCTTCCAGATGAACTTCTTGGCATATGTCCCTCCTCAGTACACATTCTCTCTCTCTCTCATACTTTTACTCTTCTTGTTGTCAGATTGGCCTAGTTAAATGCTATTTTATTACTTTATACTATGTTGCCCCTTAAATGCTTTAAGCTCAACACACATAACCTATCACCTTCAGTGAAAACTCCAGTTCAAATTGATCTCTTTTCCCTAAGCTCCAATTATATTTATGCCTGTACCACAAAATCTATCATTTAGTCTTTGTTGCTTAATACTTATACAAGGCTTTTCCTTTCAGTAAGACTGCTTGATGACAAAGTATAAAAAAGTACTGGATTATCCATAAAATTTACTGGCTTGGCTTGTACTATGTTCTTTTATGTGTAAAATAATTTCTTACAGTTCTGGGTTTTTGTTTTTCATTGATACTGGGAGAACGCAAACATAAAAATTCTCTGTTATAATTCATCCTATAGGAAACCCTTTTTCAAGGAGAAATGAAGAAGAAAACTATATATACCCTAAATGTGGGAGATCAGGAGTATGAAGATATGGAAGGTAACTTTTTTATAAAGCTTGTGTGTTGAAAGCAAAACTTAGTGTTCTAAACTGTTCATTTGTGTACATTTCAAAATTCACAAAGAGTTTTTTGTTTTCACTTATTTTCATTGGTCTTAAATTCTGAAATAAGCTGCCTGGATATATGCTATATATACACTGAAGAAGTGTATACATTTTTTTCCCTCCTCCCATGTCTCATTTTTGATTGATCGAGGTTTTTGATTTGTTTGAACTCTTTCTTTTTAAATTTTTATTCCCTACTGGTTTATGAATATACTAATCTGTTTTTGTTGTTGTAATTTTCTGTTTTCGGTTTTTTAAATAGTTGGCATTGATCTTTTCTCTGCTTCTAAAGTTAATATTTTAATATTCACTGTTAACAGTAAAAGAACCTTAGAACACTTTAACTCTGATCATCCTACTCTTTATAGGTTATAGTTATCCATTATTTTTTTTTTTTTGAAACACCACAAATTAGTCGATATTTTAACAGAGATAGTATTTGGGGGGATTTCTTCTCCATTTCTTTTTTTCTTAAAGATTTTATTTATTATTTGAAAAAGAGAGAATGAGCATGGGGTGGGGAGGGTCAGAGGGAGAAGCAGACTCTCTGCTCAGCAGAGAGCCTGATGCAGGACTCGATCCCAGGACTCCAGGATCATGACCTGAGCTGAAGGCAGTCGCTTAACAAACTGAGCCACCCAGGCGCCCCCCATTTCTTTTTTTCTTCCTGAAAAAAGCTTTAAGTTCCTTTAGTGAAAGTCTATTAGGGGTAAATTCTTAAGTTTTTGTATTTATTTTATCCTCTTCAAAACTATTCAAAGATAGATCTACAATTCTGGGTTGATAGGTTTTTGTTTTGTTTTTTTCTCTCTTAGCACTGTGGAGATATTTAACCATTTTTCTGGTTTTCTTTTTGCTGTCAAGAAATCTCTTTTCAGCCTAATTGTCAATCCCTTAGAGATGATCTGTCTTTTCCCTCATTTTTCTTTTTAGATCTTATTTTTATCTTTAATGTCTTTGACATTGTACAGATCTGCTGCATTGTTTCTGGCATGGATTATTTTCATTTCTCTGGTTACCATACCTTGTATGTCCTTTATCTTTTGGATCTTTTTTGTTTGTTTTGTTTTCTCATTTCTCAGCCATTACTGCTTTAACTGTTGCATATTCTTTATTCTCTTCTTTGGGGCTTCAATAATATGTTAGACTTTGTTCTGACCTCATTTCCCACTCTCCTTTCTCAGGTTACATCTCCTTGTATATCTCTTAAAGTCTAGATAGTTTTCTCAGATCTCTCTTCCAGTTCACAAATACTCTTTTCTTCTGGGTCTGATATGCTGTTTAATCATTCTATGTTGTATTTGCAAATTCTGATATTTGAAGCAGGTGGGCATCTAAATAAATTTAGAGTTAGTAAGTAATAAATCTAAATAAATTCTTATTTCTGCTGATTCTTATTCAAGGTAACTTATTTTCTTAGGTTTGGTAATGTTTAATTATGAACTCATATTTGATAAATTTAATCTGTAGAATTCTGAGGGCCTACCTAAGGGATGTTTTCCTTCAGAGGATTTGTATTTGCTTTTTCCTGAACCTGTGCTTTACTTTAGCTGCATTGGGGGTCTTGACCTAAAATGCAAGTCTCTTAGGATCAGTTCCCCTACCTGGGTTGGTTGTAAGTCTCTAGATGTGAACCCTAATACGAACGTTTGCTCCCAGGACAACCCCACTTTTTCATTTGCTTGGTATATATTGTTCGCATTTCAGCTGACCATTTCTTTATTTTTGTTTCATTTTATGTTGAATTTTGGAGTTTCTTTTATTTACTTTTGAGCCCACAGTACATATTCTTATATGGTGGTTATATTGCTTAAATTAGTACAAACCCTAAGGGATAAAATTTGACAGTATCTATTCACACTACATCTGTACATACATGTTGATGTAGCAATTCCTCTTTTAGGAATTTATCCCATAGATAGCTATTAAAAATATGAAATGACAGTTTTTCATTGTAGCATTGTTTGAAAGAGCCAAAGATTGAAAACAAGTGAATGTCCATCAATAAGTTAAAACAAAAAAAATGCTGACTAGTGTGTGTAGTGTTTTAGTATTTGTGTGAAGAAGGAGCTTTAAAAGGATATGTTTTAAGAGTTGCTTCTGCACCAAAAATCTTTGGAAGAACACAGAAGAAATTTAATAGTTGTTAATTGTTGCATTCAGTGGGACTGGATGGATGGCAGTAGATTTGAGTGGGAGATTTGTCACTATAACCTTTTTTTTACCTTAAAATTTTTGAACCATCTGATTATTGCTTAAAATTAATTTCATAAAAAAATTCTTTTTACTTCCCCACTAAAAATGTAAATTAGTAAATGTTGGGATATTGTGCTCAAGGAGTATGTTTGTTACATTGTAAGATTTAATTACTTTGTAATAGGGGAGCCCTTTAGAATATCTAGTTCATGATACTGCCACAAACATGTCATTTGGTCTGGAAAACTTGAAAGCATATATGGCTGCTTTACTTTATAGGTGAAGAAAACAAAGATAATACTGCTACCACTGGTTTGTTGTACAGTGAAGCTGACAGATGTCCAATATGTCTTAATTGCCTGTTAGAGAAAGAAGTTGGTTTTCCAGAAAGCTGTAATCATGTCTTCTGCATGACCTGTATTCTTAAATGGGCAGAGGTGAGTTTGAGAATAAATTAAATATTATTGTATTTTAATTCCCTAGCATGGTATCATGCCACCTAAAGAGTTGATAATGCCTTTTATAAATAACATGTTTTCCCCTTACTGTGGACAAATTTCCCTGTATTATTCAAATTCTGTCAGTACACTTTGTTCTAGTTTTTTTTTACACATCTTTTTTGTTCTTTTATAATTAAAAAATTTTAAGTGCATATCTTAAAAAAAAACTTATAGGAATAACAGATTTTGGGGGGGATAAAAATGCAGTAATTCATCTCTGGTATACTTAACCCTCTTGGGATAGTATCTGCTTACTACTAATAACACCTTCTGTCTGTTTTGTGTTTTATATTTTTCAGAGAATTTTTACATAGATTATTTGATTTGTTCTTGTATCAGCCTTGTGGAATAACAAGAGCAGATGTAGTAGTGTTCTTCAATTTGACAGATGAGGAACTTGGATTTTGTGTTCTAGAACTTGACCAAGATTTCATAGCTTAAAGAGGCAGAAGTGAATTTAGAACTGCCATTTTCTAATTCTTTTAATGTAGTATGAACTAATTTCAGAGTCCAAGTTAATGATATTACTGAGTTTCTTTATAGGTAGTAAGTGATTAAGAAAAGGATATTTTGGACTTACAGTGTATTATGTTGACTTAGTTCAGGCTAAATAGATCATGGTACTGGTACATTGAATCACTCAATATGCATTATAAGCCCTATTGTTACGAATTGTGAAATAAAAAAAAATTCATTGTCATATGAATCATGCTGTATTTTTCTGAGTTAGTAGTCTTTCAGTGTGTAAAAATGAATAAAGGAGATAAATCACAAAAATATTTTTTCAGCAGTAGCTGCATTCAAATTGATTTCTTTAAGCACATTGGAATTAATTGCTTCTTATATCATTGGAGCTTTCAAAGTTCTGTGTTTTACTTATATTTTCATTAATAGTGTAGAAAGGAGAATATAACTGTGTACTGATGTTGTGGCCGAGTTCTGGAAGGAGGAAAAAAGATTTGTTACACCAATCGAATTCATAGCAGTATACTTGGAAACAGTTCTAATTAGATTAAAGCCTAAACTGGTCTTGGCAAGAAGGGACTAAGGAGAGGTAAAAATGTATTTTGGGGAAAAAATATGTTGAGTTTAATTTAATTATTTAATATAATTATAAATCTCCATGTGTTTGCAGGAGCATTGACTAATGAATGCATATTTTTCTCTGCCACCCCATGAAAGATTTCATCTGTGTTGAATTTAATGTACCTTGGTTTGCTTCATGATTAAATATTTTAAAAATAGCGATTTTGCTTCCGTAGAGAAGCAACATTATTAGATGGGTAGAAGGTTCAATTCAGTGCTTTTATAAGATTGTATTTAGTGATCACATAATTGTAACGTTCAGCAGCATAGTCTGAGTATATGCTTTTCTCTATGAAATTAGAATATATAAAATAGACATGATTCTCCATTGTTATGCTCTACATGCATCTTCAGCATAATCATACACTTTATCATGGTGTACATCCTCCAGGTTTCCTTAGGGTATATATCTAGAAGTAGAACTACTAGTAGGTTGTGGACTATGCATATTTTCTACTCAGACAGTTCTAAACTTACCTGTTTTTAACTCTTGTTGAATATTTTTTTTTTAAAGATTTTATTTATTTGAGAGAGAGAGAGCTGGGAGTGTGGGGGGAAAGGGCAGAGGGAGAGGGAGAATCCCAAGCAGACTCCCCACTGAGTGCAGAGCCTAATGGGGGGCTCAGTCTCAGGAGCCTGAGATCATGACCTGAGCCAAAATCAAGAGTCTGACGCTTTACCAATGGAGCCACCCAGGTGCCCCTGAATATTTTTTTTTAAGTTGAAAATACTTGATAACATATATAGTATTGCAGTGAACACCTTTCTTACATGTAATATTTTCTCTTCTGTGTTATTCCTTTGGATATAAACCTTTATTGAAGCCAAACTGCTTTTAAAAGAAAGTAGGGGGACAAGGGGTATTGTGGTATTGTTTAAACAAAAGTGATTAATCTTGAAAGCAGAGAATATTCTGAATTATTTCATTGTCCCTAATCAGGATAGCAGCCATCATTAAATTGAGCAGTAACAAGAGCACAATCCAATAAATTGTTCATTATAAATAATTAATGAATATTGGTTAACAAAAACACTTAGGCTTTGAATTAAATTTTTCGTTTGAATCTTTTATTGGTATGATAAAAATTGGATGTGTTTTGAAGCATATATGTGCTTTGACAAATAGAATCAGATTTCAGATTCACTAGCGGTTTTTCTTCATGGCCATCAATTGTTAAGCTCGTTCCTCATTTTCCTTAGCTGCCTTTTATTTTCTAAAGAGGGGCATGCAGTTTACTTTGGATTTCCTGGTTAGGATATACATGTCTGTATTTAGAGGCTCCTAGCCAGCCAGGCCCTATTCTAAGGCTTTTTAAAATATTCTTTCATTTAAATCACTGTTAGTGTTTATTTAATATTCAAGGCAAGGATTCTGAACTCTAATTTGTTGCTAAATACCTCAAGGGATAGCCTGAAATTAAAATAGTTTTAAAAAATTGATCCATAGTTTAAAATTTTACCAATGTTCACTTTTAGTAGGAAGGTAGAAATCAAAGTGAGATTTATAGTGGTTAGAAGTCTACATAATAAGAAAACTATAAAATGTGTTGAGAATCATCTTCCTAGCGTATGTGTCTTTCAGAAATTCAGCTGAGCTAGCTGAGATTTGTACTCCAGGTTCATTGAAATAGGATTCAGAATGGATATCAAGAACCAAAAAGAAGTACTTATTTATTTACTTTCACCTCAATATTTTAGACATTGAAGAAATTTTCCTCTGTAAGAAACGAGTAAACTTACGGTATAGAGTAGTGTAGTGTATTTATTTCAGACACCCTCCTGAAATTTTTCATGTTCCTAAAATATCTATATCCAAAGTCAAAGTTAGTTTTAATCTTTTCAAGCTCTAAAATTTTGGTTTTCTGGTTATTTAAAACAAAAGCCATGTAAGGCCTTTCAAATGATCAAGTAACTGAGCTTTAGCTGTAGGTATTTTATACAATTTGCCTTCCCCAGGGCAGAAAGATTCAGGATAATGGAACTTATGGTGGCTTTCATGGCCCATAAACTAATTACCTGCCCTTGGGGACACTAGAACAAAATAAGCATGTCTACTATGACTATGTTTCATTTCAAGAAACTCTTGCATGTTAGGCCTGTTGGTTTGTGAAATAATGATGATGATGTAGAAATAGAATATTAAGCAGTAATTAACACTTAAGGAAAGTTGAAATTTTTATTAATTTAAAGCATTAATATTAGAGCTGAGAATCTAAAACTAAACAAAGAAGACCTTTGAATTGATGAATTATGCACAGAGCAATACACTAAAGTTTGTCAGCCACTCAAAAGGTTATTTTACCAAATTTACCTACCTATATTTTACCTATATTACCTATATATATTTTACCTATATTATACCTATACAGTCTAAACATTGACAGTTTTTACTTTGCCTGTAAGTTTAACCTTGATCCTCTGAGTTTGCACATTTTATTATTTTTTTTAATTTTATTTATTTGAGACAGAGAGAGAGCACAAGCAGGGAGGAGGGGCAGAGGGAGAGGGAGAAGCAGACTCCATGCTGAGCAGGGAGCTCGACAACTTGGGGCTGGATCCCAGGGCCCTGAGATCATGACCTGAGCTGAAGGCAGCTGCTTAACCAGTTGAGCCACCCAGGCGCCCTCTGAGTTTGCACATTTTAAAGTAGATATTTAGAAAGGTGAAGGCTAGAGAAGTGTGACACACAGCTGTAGTAGTGACAGCTGATCCATAATTGTGATTCCCTATAGACAGTAAGATACCACTTCCACACACACACACACACAGGTTGAGAAAATAGAATTTATGATTTGGCAGATTGCCAAGAAGTGGTTAAAATTTTGGCCCTAAAAGGGCTAAAGTTTAAAGCCTTGGAAGCATTTTATGTTTGAAGTATTTAAGAGATTATTTTATTTAAAGGGACACGTGATCAGGAGGTTCTGATATCCCCTAGGGTTTTCTATCTCTAAAGTAATATAAAATATTTCCCTTATCTTTTAAGTAACTTTTTAAATGTGATTAACTTTCCTGCTGTAAGCAAACTATCCTCCTTCAATTTATTTATCTCAGTCCTTCATTTCATATCAAATGCTGATAGCTTCAGTTTGAGAAAGTAAGGTTAAAGAAATCAAATTTGGACAGCTGGGGAAGGTATGTTTTCTGAGACTAGAAATGAAGAGGGTCTTACTATGATGAGTACAGTTCTTGAAGAAGTCAAACGACAGTGTTCAATGCAGACAGGTGAGGAATATATTTTTAATTAATACATACCAAAAAATCAGAATATGACTAGTTGACATATCTTGACTACTGATGTGTTTTATGTACAGATGTTCTTTTATGCAGTGAATAGAAATTTACACATTCTGGTGATTAGAATACCTTTCAAAGCTATATATTGTCTGGATTTCTTCAGTTTTTCTTGGCATTTTAATTTTTATTTATTCCTGAACTAAACTGAACCTCTCTGTTACGTAGTTCTCTATGAGCAAAAATTTAAACATCTGTGGAGCAATACTATTAGTCCTTATCTTTAAAACTTTGTAAAGCATTGTCAAATACATTATTTCATTTATTACAACTTGTGCAAGAGGTGATTCAAGACTCTATCATCATCCTTAAAATAAGAGAGGTTGCTAGTTCTGGGTCCTTCAGAACTTGAATTTGTGACTATAATTATTTCAAATCCCCTGTTGTTTTCACCTCATGGATTAATCCTTTGGTAAAACCTTTGGTGTAGAGCAAAGAGTATTTTTACATTGTGAACCACTCATTGTCTAAAGTGAGCACTCATTATCTAAAGCATAAATGTAATAGATTTTTATTTAATACTGTTTTTACCAGTTAGGTAAAGTAAGGCGTATTTCTGT